TAAAAGAGCAAATCCATCCCAGGTTTAAGATCCTCGGAAACAATGTAATCTCCAAAATGTTGTAAAACTACTTTTAAAAGACAGAATGTTCAGGCCCCAGCCAATATAATACCTTAAGCGGATTCGCAACACCGTCGGACGCATTCCAGGGTACAAAACAGCAGCCTCCACCTGCAATAAGTACCCATAAGCATTTTTAAGAGACAAATCAAGCAATGGAAAATAAACTGGAAGATAAAATGTTTGCTTGAAAGCATGCATTAGATCAATGTCAGCTGATAATGGAAGCAGAATTGAAAAAAGGAAATTTGAGATTTGCAAAATATATATTAGCCAGGAATCAAGCATATAGCATAAGCTAACCTTGTCATCAGACAATGTGTAATGACCACCAAAAACAGAGTCTGCTGCTTTAGATGCACGGAAATTCATGAATTTTACCACATCCTTGATCTTTTGAGAAGAATTCTAACAATTGCAGATAAAGATAGAAAAAACAAGGCAATCAGATTAAAAAGAAAAAAAAAAAAGAAAACAAACAAGATTTCTTCTACACTGCATCAGTTACTATTTGTTTAGATTAAAACCTTGTAAAGAAATCTGCCAGAAGGAAAGAATCTCAAGTATCGGAAGTAGCATACCTGCAAGACAGAAAAATCAGTAAGAATAATCATGTAACAAAACTCTTTTCTCCCCCAATTACCTATTTCCCTTTGGCCTTATGCAACTCTGACAAAAAAAAACACAATGAAATAGAGTAACATTTTACACCAATGCTCCATCTACACATCATTTAAAAATTCTTATACATTCAGCCCAATAAAAGGGAAAACGAATGTAGATCAGGATATATGCAACAATGATATTCTATAGTTTAAATGCTTAAAGCTGCTACCAGATAGCACACTAATCAAAACAAATGGGAGTAGAAACTATGCTCAATGTAGAACAAAATGGTCTATAACTTTCAATCTGATAGATCTTACTTTCTCTCAGTGCTTGAAGTTTTCATTTCTTAAAACTTCTTTGGGTTTACCACAGGCTACACTAATTAGTAAAAGAAATTACTTCCAAAATTTGTAGAAGGAAAATTATGAGGCCATTGATACAGAATTGAGAGTCATACTATGTGAACCGGATTGGTAATCTTCCACTCAGCAATTCCTGCACGAATATATGTGTTCCTACTAACATAGAGACCTGAGATAAGAAAGCAAATTAGTTTCTTGAAAATACGGATCACAAGAGACTAATAAACATTGCTCACTTATTAAAGGTTAATCGGAGTACATGACTACAGAAATACATTTTGTTCAGTTTTGTAATAGATAAAGTAAGAAGATTTTACCATCAGTACGGAGCCTTGGTCTTAAAAGCCACATTTTCCTCCATGAACCATCATATTTTGATTGCAATAACTTATAGTTTTCTACCACTCCAGCAAGCTTCACAGAAGAGGTCCAGTTTCAGCTTTGAATAATTTACAAATAATAAACTAAGAAATGTTCATAGCCACTAACAAGTTTACCTGCCAGGCCTTCAAGCACGCATTACGCCAAAACACAGGGTTACGAATTGTGTACCTCCATTTTCGACAGACACAAGATGCCCTTCCCATGTCATACGGACTCATTCGTGCAAAGACCTGTACATGAATATTTATCATTCCTATTCACCTGCTTAAAATAACTGAAAGGCTTCACCCATGGAAAGTAGTAAAACAAATATAATACAGAAACACATCCATCAAATCAAATTCAATAAAAACCATTATGTATCAATTGTTATGTACTTGTAAAATTAGCGATAATTGAAACTGAATAAATGAATTCTTAAAATGCAATACCTCAAAAAGGAGCTCATCAGGCAAGCAACGGTGTATAAGTGCCGAATCAATATAGGGTTTTCTACTTACGCTTCCAAAAGGCGCAACCGGCCTCACATTAACGCCATAAAGATCTAAAACAGAATCACCGGAAACAAAATAGTAAGAACTAAGGCAACATAGAATTAAGCGGTAAAATTAGAGAATCAGGAGCATAGCATACCATAACAAGATTCATAAAGCACAAAAAAATGTAATAACTAAAAACAAGAAAGAGAACTAAAGATAACAGAATACACTAGCTATAATTGTACCGAGCCATGGTCTCTTAGTGACGAAGTAGTGTACGGTCTTCAACCGAGCTGATTCCAGCTCGGCAGGAACTTTCAAGGCGAAATCTGCACTAAAACGAATTGAATTTATTTCGAAGAAACGATTTCACGATTCAAAGTATTGAAAGGTTAAAAGTGCGAAAAAAGTTGGGGAAATCAATCATTTAACGTTTAATTAGGGTATTCCAATAGAAGAATCTTAGTTTTTGGTATAATTTTCAGTACCTGAAGCCATGGCAATGCAGATGAAATGGCGGTTCGTCGTCTTGGGAGAAAATAGCAGGGAACAAACGGAAGAGGTTTTTTTATTTATTTTAATTGGCGTGTTATTACCAAACGCCGACTATCGCAATTGCAAACGACACTCGCTAAACTTGTGGGCCAATGGTCTGGCTTTGGTGGGGTCAGATCATCTCATTCTCTCGGCTACTAAAAAGCCACGTGCACTCCAGCTGACGTGGCCCAAATATAACCGTGATTTTTTAGTCCTGAGGGCTTTTCTAATGCCCAAGGTTTGAGTTGTTGGGTCTCTAAGTTCTGGTTATATCAGCTGAATGATTTTCTTGCAGTAGTTTGTAACTGGATTATTGTTTTTAAGGTTAATGTATAAACACTAATATTATGTAACTTGATTAGTAAACAACTGAGCTCGCTAGATGTATGATTCGCATTAAAATGAGCTACTCTGTTTTCCTCTATTTATTTTGTCCCCTGTTTCATGCAAAATTTTGTTGATATTTTGCATTTTTACGCACCGATTATTTTGAGTTAGTTGAGTAGTAATTAGCTGAATCCGCGTTTACCGAACCAATATGAAGAAGCCTGAAATAGACTTCCAATTTTACAGATCAAGAGTTATGGTTCTTGAAGGTTTATTTGGCTATGATGGCTGTTTTCATGCAGTTTCCAAAACTCAAGTGATGGTACTCGTAAATCTAGTAGAGAACAAGCACCCAATAAACCTCACGGGATTGGCTTAGTGCTAGCGGTCAAAAAGATTTATTCTCCATTTAGGTTTAAACTTTAAGGTCACTTACCACATTGTAACTTATCTTGAACTCAGAGACGGATTCAGAGTGTGTTTAGGGTGGGCTATGGCCCACTCTCAATTTAAAAAAAGAAAAGAAAATTAAATATGTTATTCTATTTGGTTTGACTTTGGTCCACCCTTAATTTTTATTTTTAAATATTAAAAAATAGGCCGAATGACTTGCGCATACCCAAGGTTTATCGAAATGACAAGTTGGTACCCAAAAGGTTTTGAAACGACAAATAGATACCTTCCATCATGTTCTGTTAGTGATTTCTGTTTATTAATAGTGAAAAGACTAAAATACCCTTGACAGTTTATTATTTTAGTTTTTTATAAATTTAAAATTTTCCAAAAAACCCTTTAAGTTTGCTAATTTAACCAAACACCCCCATATATAAAAAGTTTGTTAAATGACAAAAACACACCCACCACCCGCAGTGCCAGATTCCGGCCACCACCGTCGGAATCTGACCGGAAAATTGCGTTACGACACAGACCCATCGGATCTGTGTCTTAACGTGTCGATCTGGCCTTTTCCGGCCAGATCCGTGGCTAATCTGGCCGGAAAAGGCCAGATCGACACGTTAAGACACAGATCCGATGGGTCTGTGTCGTAACGCAATTTTTTGGTCAGATTCCGGCGGTGGTGGTTGGAATCTGGCACTGCGGGTGGTGGGGGTGTTTTTGTTATTTATCAAACTTTTTATATATGGGGGTGTTTGGTTAAATTAGCAAACTTAGGGGGTTTTTTGAAAATTTTTAAATTTATAAAAAACTAAAATAATAAACTGTCAAGGGTATTTTAGTCTTTTCACTATTAATAAACAGAAATCACTAACAGAACATGACGGAAGGTACCTATTTGTTGTTTCAAAACCTTTTGGATACCAACTTATCGTTTCAATAAACCTTGGGTATGTGTAAGTCGTTCTCCCTTAAAAAATATGACCCACTCTCAAATTTAGGACTAAAAAGCCTTGGCCCACTCTCCATTTTAATACTAAAAGACTTGGACCATCGCCCACCTTCAATTTTTTAAGGAAATTTGTAAAAGTAAAACCTTACTCTACTGTTACAATTTGCAAACGCTCACCCGACAGTCCCTCACGTTTTTGCACAGTTTCTCTGCTGCTCTCTCTAATTCTTCATCTCCCTAATTCTTTGTATTTCAGACTTCAACAAAATTTAATCAGCTATTTTCTCTTTGGTTACTACTTTTTTTTTTTTTTTTTTTTTTTTTTTTTTTTTGTGTATAATGCTTTTCTTTTATTTGTGTAGTGTGTATTAGCATAATAGCATTGTGTATTGAATTTTTTATTGAGAAAACTTTTAGGAAAAAAGGGGAAGTTTATAGATTCCAATATTTTGTAATAGGTAAATAATTGTTTTGTGGTCCCAAAATTTGAAAAAAAAATAATATATAGATAATAGAAATAGAAATATAGATAAAACCAAGGAGACTTTTATTTTTATATATTGTTCAAGTCTTTAAGACTTTAAGTTGATGATTGAAAAACTTTAAGTTAGAAAATTTAGAATTTCTATAGTTATTATAGAATTCAATTCGTGAGTTAATTTATTTCTTTGTATTTATATAATTTTATTTTCTTGTATTTAGATATGAAAAAATATTTTTTTTAAAAAGTCAATTGCTGAGACATCTCAACTTTATTATGGTGTCAATGATAATGAAAACCAACCTTCTTCAAAGAAAAATTGCTTCGAAGTTGACTTGGGAAATCTTTCTTTTGATCCTGGATTTTGACCAAGAATTACATTTTATCATCCTAATGTTTGAGACCAAGTCAGAATGCGTTATTTACAAAAGGGTCATTCTCAACCTCACAACCATAAGTTTCTCAAATCAAAATCTGGTGATTATGAACGGAGTTTCCAACGTTCTTGGTTTGACAAATATCTTTACTGGTTGGAATATAGTGTTGAGAATGATGCTGCATATTGTTTATGTTGTTATCTTTTCAAACCAGATAAAGGGGAGCAAAGTGGCGGTGATTCTTTTGTTCTTGATGGGTTTCGCAATTGGAAGAGACTTGAAAATTTTTAATATCATACTGGAGGTCCTAATGGCTATCATAACCAAGCTTTGAAAAATTGTCAAGCTTTGATGAACCAAAAGCAGCATGTGAGTACAATTATTAATAAGAAATCTGACCAACAACGAGAAGATTATCGTATTCGGTTGAAAGGATCAATTTCTGCTAGTCGGCTTCTTCTTCGGCAAGAATTGCCTTTTCGTGGCCATGATGAGTCTGATAATTCAATGAATCGGGGAAACTTTCTTGAATTTTGACACTATACAGCTAAACAAAATGAAGAATATAGATTAGCAGCATTGGAGAAAGCTCTAAGACATGATAAATTGATTGCTCCTAGTATCCAAAAAGACATAATCAATGCATTTGCAGTTGAAACCATCAACAAACTAATTAGTGATCTTGGAGATGCTTTTTTTTCTATATTAGTTGATGAAGCTCGTGATGGATCCAACAAAGAGCAGATGATAATTATCTTACTTTATGTAAATAAAAGAGGTTGTGTTGTTGAGTGTCTATTTATCATTATGCATATCACAGATACGACTGCTTTGTCACTAAAGATGGGAATCGAAACATTGTTCTCTAAATACAATTTGAGCATATCAATATTACGTGGACAAGGTTATGATGGTGCAAGTAATATGTGAGGTCAGTTTAATGGGTTAAAAGCACTTATATTGAAAGATAATGAATATGCCTTCTATGTTCATTGTTTTGCTCACCAACTTCAACTGACACTTGTAACTGTGGCAAAAAAGGATACAAATATTGAGAGATTTTTTTTGAAAGTTTATTGTGTGATAAATATTGTTGGATGGTCACCTAGACATCGGGATCTTCTTAATGAGAAACAAGCTTGGAAGGTGAAAAAAGCTATTGAAAGTGGTGAGCTTTCAACAGGGCAAGGCCTTAATCAAGATACTAGTCTTAAGCGGCCAGGGGAAACACGGTGGGGTTCACATTTTGGAACTTTATTGAGCTTGATTAATTTGTTTTCATTTGTTATTGAAGTGCTTGAGGATTTTACTGAAAATTCTGATAATGGAGTTGAAGCAAGTGATTTGGTGGATTATATGACTTCTTTTGATTTTTGCTTTTACCCTACACATGATGAAAAACATTTTGGGAATCACATTTGAACTTTCACAAGCATTGCAAAGGAAGGATCAAGATATTATAAATGTTATATCTTTGGTTCACTTGTCGAAAAAAAGATTATTGTTAATAAGAAATAATGGATGGGATAATCTATTTGATGAAGTTTCTCATTTTTGCATTGTTCATAATATAAATGTGCCAAATATGGAAGAGAAATTTGTTGCATGAGGGAGATCGTGGCGTAATATTCAAGAGATGACAAATTTATTTCATATTGTGTCAAGTTGTTCTATGCCATAATAGATTTGCAACTATCAGAGCTTAATAGTCGTTTTAATGAAGGTAATACAGAATTACTTATTTGCATGGCCTCCCTAAATCCAAGTGATTACTTTAAAGCATTTGATAAGGGAAAATTAGTTCGTTTTGCTCAATTTTATCCACTTGAATTTTCTTCTACTGATCTTATGACACTTGAACTTAAACTTGATAATTACATTGATGATATGCGCTCAGATAGTGATTTTTCAGAACTAAATGATATTACTAGTCTTGCTCAGAAAATGGTTGAAAAGAAGAAACATCTTATTTACTCATTGGTATATTTGCTCATCACATTAGCTTTAACCTTACCAGTTGCAATTACAAGTGTAGAAAGAGCATTTTCTGCTATGAAAATTGTGAAGACTCATTTACGCAATCGAATGAGAGATCAATTCTTGAATGATAGCCTAATTCCATATGTTGAGAAAGATTTATTTGACAGCGTTGATAAGGAGATAGTGATGCAATGATTCCTCAATATGAAGCCCCGTCGATGACAATTGTAAATGTAATTTTTTTTTCTTTTTATGACAATTTTGACTAGAAAGACAGAATATGAATGTTATGTATAATTAATTTTCATTTGGCCACCCTAATAAAAATTTATGGATCTGCCCCTGTTTGAACTATTGAGTTTGTAGGGTATTTTATGGACCCCGAAGATTAATTGAGATGCGCGTAAACTAGCCAATATCACATTATTATTACACAATCAAAGTCAATATAAGGAATAATTGTTGAATGTAGATTCAGAAAATAATCACTCAAAAAGAATATAAACAGAAATTTTGCCGAAAACAGAGGAATACCATAGATAAATTTGTATCTCATTTGACCAATTCTAGCACAATCCTCTATTTCTATCTCAGCACTTCGATTCACTTTTGGTCAACGTGCAAACCTGTGCAAAAATAGGCCAGTAGAAAGTACATTAGAAATGCAATTCATCAAAGGCATGAAATATGAAGAGTTTTGAATTGAATGTCTAATAAGATTATAAGAATGATTATGATATTACCAGAAAAGAAAAAAAAAAAAATGATTCAGTGCATTAAAGCAGAGCTCACCACATCGTAGATAAAAATACAACTTTTCATTCATCTTGCTAGTAACATATTTCACGTCGTAGCTTGGACTGTGATTGCTTTTGTATCATTAAAAGTTTATCTATGATTTAGACAAGAAATGATCGAATGAACTGCATTTGACCTAAGAAATGAACAGAGATTCACTCCATTAATTACTACATTCAATCGCCACTCTCCTTAAGTATATTCGTCTTGCTTTTTTGTAACTATATTCATTTCTAACAGCGGCTTAAGGCATTAAATAGTTGTTAAAATTTTCACTCAAACCTGAAGACGTTGAGGATAGTTTTCTCTTGACATGAAAAATTGTAAATTATATCGATTTTGAAATACAAATTCCAAATTCATTTTCCCTCTTAGCCTTCTCTGACTCTTGATCTTGCAATTTTCCTCCATCAGTACTCGTTTTCTATTCTCCTATATTTCACCAAATTAAATTAACGATTCAAACTTTTTATTTTATACTGTTATGCCTAAAAAATCAGGGTTGACGTAAGCTCACATCAATAATAACACCAATCAGAGTTCAGGAAGACTTTGCACTGTTTAGGAGCTGTCATGTCGTCCCAAGACAGAAAAAAATACGACTGTCATCAACCCAGTAGATTCAGGTTTTGTCTGTGAGTGAATGAGGACCGCATACCTGTCCAAGCCCCAAATAATTTGAGGATATTTCCTAAGTTATCAGTCAATGAGAGACAAAGAAGGATTTGCAAGACACCTACCCACTTGCAAATTTGTAATCATTACCTTGAATTCAACTACTATAAATAAAAGACTTCTCCTCTCATTTTCGGGATCTCTAATCTCTACTTTCACAACAATTAATATCAAAGACAACTTACTAGAAACAATGGACGTATTGTACCTCTACTGCTGTTCACTATATGCAACATATTGTAAACTCTCATATATAAAAGAAACATTAGACGTAGGAATCGCTTTAAGCATTCGAACCACTATAAAAATTTTCTGTCTTATTTATAATTCTATCTTTGCATCAATATTATTGTTTAACTTTATCCTGATTCTTGAATCAATCATATCACGTACAATTTTTAAGAACAGCTTAACGTTTTATACCTGTGAATTGTTGGTGTCAAAATCACGCATCAACATATACCTTCACCAAATGCTTCCATGTCTTCAACAAACATATCTTACTTTCTGGGCTTTATCGAAATTGATCAATAATCAAAATATATCATCATTTAATGATATATACAAACTATTTTAATTTGCAAAACTATAAAATTAAATTAAAATTGGTTACTTTATAGTTTTCTTATGTTAAAAAAGTTATTTATTCCTCAAAATTTATGGATATATCGAGTTAAAAGAGTACTCAAAATCTATTACTCAAAATCTATTATGTGATCATTATTTATGTTTTTAGAATTTGGATCCCTTTGTATTAGTTTTTCAAATAAACATGATGATATTCATATCATCTCTCCAATATGTTAGGTAAACTAGTACTACACAGCCTCCTAGAATGATTAAGTTGTTTATGAGGGGCTGACATGACCTTATTAAATTACATGCAGATCCTGTTTATAAAGTAAATTTTCAAAAACATAAAACAAATAAAAAAATAATAACTCATCATATTGACCAATCCCAAGCTTTAGGCCAGGCCCTGGATAAGTCCGACTAGGTTTATCAAACCCAGGCTTTTTCATGGGACTGGGCTTGGATTTGAAAAAACCCGGGCTCAGCCCTAGTGAGTTCGGCCCGGGCCCGAGGTTTTTACATCACTACCAACTAAGGATGGGTGTTTGCCTCGGTCCCATGGGGATTCGGCTTGAATGGGGCAAGGAATCCCTGAGAATGTTGGGGATGGGGATGGGGTAGGGGATAGTCCTCCAAAAATCCCCGACCTTGCGGACGGGTCGGGGAGGGGATTGTGCAATCCCTGCCCAGACCGACCCTATCAATCCTGCCCCCGTGGAGACTCGCCCTCTCCGTCGCACATATTATTCTTTTATTGAAAATTTTATGCTTTTTTTTTTCCTTTACGAGATTGTATATAAAGTTAAAGTGTAAATCATAGTTTTAAATAATGTATCTAAATTTATAATATTTACCATTATAATACTTTATAATATTTGTATTAAATTTATAAAAAAAAAATTTAAATGAGGGAGTCTAATAATTAAATATATGTATTATTATTTTGTGAATTTCACAAAATAATAATGCATGCCCCAAAAATAAAGTTGATTAGATTATTACAATTTATAAAACCAATATAAGAATATACACAATTGCTTACGTTAACGGCTTACAAATTATACAAATTCAATTATCTTTTTAATTAATTATGATGTTAAACTTAATCAATGTTAGGAACTTAGGATAATGAGATTTGCCCTCAAATGGACTAATTTTATTAGTTATAGTAGAGATGGTGCTTTATGAATTAATTAATCAATTTACCTAGTAAATTATATCAATATTGAATATAGTTATATTAATTATATGAAAAATTAATTAATTAATTAGACCTAAGCATGCATACAAGTGAATAATTAATCAATTTATCTAGTAAATTATATTAAGATTGAATATAGTTATATTAATGTTATGAAAAATTTATTATTTAATAGGGTTAACTAAGCTTAAGTCTCCATACAATTTAATAATTAATCAATTTACCTAGTAAATTATGTTAAGATTGAATATAATTCTATAAAAAAATTAATTAATTAAACCTAAACCTGCATACAATTGATTTATGGTAAGAAATTTGGTAGAATATGCCAAAAGAGTTAGGAAGTTACACTAATAATTTTGTAGAATATGGTAGAGCTATACACATATTTGATTTTCACTCCCAATCTTAGCATTTGAAAAATTAAACACCTTGATTTTGGCACATTGTGTCTAATATTGTAATTGAATTTGAGTGAGTTCAGTTGAAGTTTTAAACCCATATGTTATAGTGTAGCTACGCCCTGCAGTCTAACATGTTTCCTTAATTGCTCTAGCATGGTTGCCACAATTCAGTTGTAGTGGGATAGTCATCGGTAGTTTTAGAACTTCAAATAACCTACCCCCTTGGGCCTCTTTTGTTTCACCTGGGCTATTGCCTTTTAGGCTTTAGTGTTGGACTTGTGGATTCATGACCCATTAACTCATTGAACCTTTTTATTAAAGGAGTTCCCATCTCTTAATATACACCATTTCAAAATTGTAAAATTTAAAATGTTCTCTTATTGCATCCTATAAATTCCATATATGTTTTTTATTCCATTTTTTTTTTTTATATTTTGAAAAAGTTAATATCTCACTCCATTCACTTATGTTATATAGCTCCACCATTGTTATTCCGAAGATAAAATTTTAGGTAATTAAATTGAAAGTCCAAAAAAAAAAAAAAAATTAAAGCTAAAATTTTCCTTACAAATAATCTCAAGAATATATTAATAGATATATATGTGAACCAATTAAAAAATTTTACTGTTTAATATCACTTATAATCTCATATATCTAAGAATGATTTGAATAGCATAAAAAAAAAGTTAATCGGATAATAGTAGGTGTCATAAGTGTTTGTAACGAATATATAATTAAAGTTAGTTTTAATAATATAATATAAGGATAATTTGTCATTATAAAATTTATCAAAAAGTGAGGCCTTTTAAGTCTTAGTTCTGTCCAAAAATAATTCTCAAAAACTAAAATATGATTCAAATTTTTTTATGTATTTTAATGTCTTTAATATTTGAAAATCTATTCAATATAACATTAAAAAATTGTTTCACATGATAAACAAAATAAAACTGTGAAAATGATTTTTAATCGCTTTAGATTTATACTAATTTTTAGGATTATATTTTTTGTAACCGTTGTGAGTTGTGACTCATTTCTACTAAATGCATTATCATAATTTTTGTTATATTTTTTATTTTTAAGAACAGAAAACTGTAATTAAATTCAATACGGAAATAACCACCTGTCAACAGCCGTTAATCAAAGAGGAAGTCCAAAATGTAATTATCTCTGTACAACATTTTATCAAACACCTCAGCCTCGTCTCTCTACCTTCACCAAGAAACTAGCGGGAAGAGTAAAAGGTCCGAGAAAGTCGCAAAAAGTGGTCGAGAATTTCTATACGGTAAAGTGTACTTCTTCAAATCAAGAATCTCTTTGTTATGCCCATTGATTTTGCATCATGGCTTTCTTTTTCATAATTTTCATCTTATTCAATCATTATCCATCAAGTTAAAGTTTACATAATCATGGCTTCTTCAGCTCAATCATTATCTTTTACTTGTTTTTGTTTTTGTTTTAGTTTTGGTTTGAGTTTGTGTTTTTTATTTCTGCTGTTTTGGTCACTTGTGGAAAGGGTTACTTATGATGGTTGAGTTGTGATTTTGAATTTCAAGTTCCTGGGTGAAGCTAAGGAAGTAAGGATTTGGGTCATTTTCAGTGTTTGACTAGAAGAGAAATTGTTATAGGGGAAACATTTGTGCTTGGTTCCTGCTTAGTACTTGGTTTTATGTACAATTGTTGGAGCTTTCTGGTTTCCTCTTTATCACTACTAATTGGCGAATGCTTTCCTTTTCCCACTATGCCATGACATGTGTTTGAATAAGTTGTTGTTGCATATCCTCCATCTTGGAAATTAATGTGAAATTTGCGAAACTTGCCATGTTGTCTTTAACTGCTTAAGGATACAGTTGATGCTGGAAGTATATAATTTGACATGGAGACAATCGATTTGATTCTAGAAAGAAGGGAAAATGGGAAATAGTTACCAAGTCTTGATACATCGTTTTTGCAAAATAATCAGATGGATCCTGAATCATAAAGCTTCAGGTCCTTCTTGGAATATAAATGGATATAATGTATAGAATGAGCTCCTGGAACTTTAAAACTGCTTGCCATGATGGGGATAGTACAAATACGTGACAATAAAGTATCTATGTGTTTCTCAATCCGCATTTTCGCTTTTGTGTGGATTCTGAACTTCCTTTTTATTTATTTCTAAATTCTTATGGTTACAATTGTGCAAGCTTTGGCACTCTATTGATAATTACGGGATTATTCATTTTTTGAGACGATTGATGAAAGTGTGTCAATTCATAATACAGAACACTTTTGAACCATGGTTTGCTCAGTGCAGTTATTTGATTTTCTTAATTCTTGGATGGAACCTATGTCAACAAGGTTTTTGTGATTGGATACTGATTACTGAAGAATTTCTGATGTGCTTTTATATATTATCAAGGACAAATTATGATTTTGTAGAAGGCTTTTCTCATTGGAGTCTATTCCATCAAAACCTATTAGAATTGAAGATCAATATGAACAAGAGCAGGACTGTTAGACGAGGCCCAATTAAACCTGTAGTTGATGTATTTTCTGGTAGATGATTCCTGTTTGAAAGATAATTAAATGACTTTCTAGGACTTTGATTTGGCATTTAGCGACCAAAAGTAGTTGATGTTTTTATCGTTGTGCTGCTTTAAGTGGCAGATGTGATGGTTAGTTCCTGAAGTCTTGTTTTGGCATCAAAGTTAAGGATTCCAATTCACACTGTTGTTGTTACTTTGATAGTCATGATCTTTTTATTTATTTTTAATCGCATTTTTCCACTTAATAATTTGTTCTATTTGTGGTGAAACTATTGAGGCTAGTCTGTTGAGGTTTACAGCCTTCCTTTCATCCTAAACTCTCAATACTTCTTGGGATTCATCAGTTCAGTCTTATAACCTTTCAGACCTTGTCCCATTAGTTTTTCATCTAACCCTAACTTTAACCCAATATCAGCAAGCAAGAACAAAGTCTAAATCAATGAACAACTTGCCTTCTTCTCCCATCACTTTTGGTAATGGGAGTCTTCATTAGAATGTCATAGCTAGACCTCGACTACTGAGGCTATTGATGATCAATTCAATACATTGCATATTAATTGTTTAATTTAATTATATGATTTTACATTTTTTATTTTTTTGCTTCAGCTGGACATGCAACTCCTATAGAGCATCTAGCATTAAGTGTAGTCATTGCAATTCCAATTCTTGGATCTTCTCTAATGGGATATGGATCAATAAGCTTGATTTATGGCTGTATTATGTTATTTGATTTCTTAAGAACTATGGGGCATTCCAATGTTGAAATTTTACATGAATTTTTTCGAGTCCCTACTGATTCTTCGATATCGTCTCTATACCTCCACTTAAATATTTTCATTCTCACAATCAAGTACCATGGATTAATGCATTAGAAAGGTTCTAAGTTTCATATATCTTACAATTTTATTCATCTAAGTTTAGTTTAATTTTCTAATTATGCAATGAATTGAATTGATCATTATTGGCCTCTATTGTTTTTAAGAAACAATTTGTAATTGAATGATGAGAAGAGAATTTGTGCTTGAGTAACTTCTTGTACCTTCTTTATGGTGAGGATTTCAACAAGTCTTCATTAGATGTCTTCGCTAGACCTCAACTCTTTAGATTCAAGCAAATTATTTATTGGGTTTGTTGAAGAGAAACTTTATTCACAGCTTTGATTTCTTGACTCTTCATTGATTTTGTTAGGATCTTTATATTTCTTAGAAGGAGCTTTACCAGTCGAGGATGATAAATAGAATTTCTCATACGAGAAAAAGAGAAGATATCAAATAGAGATTTGATACCCCATTAACTGTTGAACAAGCACTTTAAACAAAAAAATTAACAAAGGTTTTTTGGTTTTAAATTCAGATGTTTATTTCTTTTTTTATTTTCTTATAAAACTAAAAAGAAATTTACAAAGATTTCTTGTACAAAGTGATATGACAGAAGATGAATGGAAAAGTGAATACAAAAAGTCAAACTTATCATATTTACTCTTTCATTCATCTCCTGCCACATCATTTTGTACAAGAAATTTTTGTAAATTTCTTTGTACCTCTACCTGTACCCTTTCTTTATAGAAGTCCTAATGGTATTTTGGTCCCTTAACAGTCAAATTCTTTTTCAAGAAGTCCTAATGGTATTTGGTCATTTGACAGTCATGAATTCTTTTCCAATCAATCTTAATGGTATTTTAGTCCTTTGACAGCCGAATTAGAGTCCAAATGTTCTAGCTTATGAGGTTTTTTTTTCTTACTGTCTCTCTCAGGTGTGTGCTTTGTTATGATTTGGGGAATTGGGGGCAGAATGTTTCTGAGGTATTTTTCAACCAAGCCAAAGCCGAAGATGAAGCCAATAGAGCTTAGCATGCCACTGGAGCAAACTGAGACCATCGCAAGGGTTATATTCAACATAGTCAAGGAACATGGTCCTCTCACTGTTGCTGAGACTTGGGAACGCGTCAAGGTCTGTGAGAATGTAGTCAAACTGTTTGATTTTTAATGTGCTTCTTCTTATGACCATAACATTTGCTTAACTTTTCAGGAAGTTGGATTGAGAGGATTGACAGGCAAAAGCCACATGAAAATAGTGTTGAGATGGATGAGGGAGAGGCAGAAGCTCAGGTTGATATGCAATCATGTAGGGCCGCACAAGCAATTTCTGTACACAACTTGGTTCACAAAATCAAACAACATCAAGCAGGCAAAATCAGTGAGTCATTCTTCACAATCTCAACCCAAGCTGCCTTGACCATCACAGAGCTAATAAAAATACATGACATATTGACAGTCTAAAGGTGCTTTCTCTTACTCTAGTGTAACATTTTCCGTGCTTGTTGAGCTACTTGTTTCGTGAATGTTCGCTAAGGTCGCATTGGTTATGCATGATTGTACATAGGATCTCTGCACTAAATAGATGAAAGGAATTTTATCAGTTGAGGTATAATTTTTTCATGAAATGATAGAAAACGGCTACAAGTTTCAAATTGTTCAATTTATGGACGTTTAATGTTGATTTACTTTATAACCAAAGAAAATGACTTAGATACCCTTAGATGTTTATTTCTTATTAGTTTTTTAATTATACATTTATAAAATAAAAAACTATAAAAAAAGAAAAACTCCAAAAATAAAAAATAAGCACGGGTTCAAATCTAATTTACTCTTCTTCTTTTTTTATATACTAATTAAATAAACAAAAAGCAGGGAAAAAAATGGTTTGAATCTAAGTTCTTAAAGTAAAACTAACCAAAAAATTTGAAAAATTAAAAGATTTAAACAAAAAAAGAAAAACAAGTTTGAATTTTAATTTAATCAGGAAACAAAAAATTTGAAAAAGAAAAAAGAATAACCAGTTTAAATATACTTTAAATTTTTTTATAAAAAACTAAAAGAAATAAACCAACAAGTTTAAGAAACCAAAAAAACAAAAAAGAATAGCAAACGGGGCCCAGCACCGTTGGAATTTAGCCTTTTAGTTCACTCGCTTTTTTTTTTTATATTTTTATTTTTAGTTACATATGTCAGTTTATGATTGGGTGAAATTTTTAGTAGCTTATTTATTTTTATTTTTTTCTTTAATGACTTGTACAACCTGCAGTACGTGTAGTTTTTGTTAAATGTAACAGCTATTTCCTTTGATGTATCATTTGAAGCTTGTATCCGTTTTTTTTTTTTTTTTTTTTTAATTTCAGGAAAATATTGTATTTTAATTGATAATATTCTAAAGGAAAATAAGCCCTCTTCTCCCACAAGTTAAGATCACGTTATTTTAATAGAAATTAAATCTGATTTAAGAAATTAAGCAAATCTCATTATACATGTAACATGTTCAAACAAAAATTTTTAAAATTTCAATTAAAGAGTAAATATTTAAAGAATCGAACATTTAATTGATAGTTCACTATATAATTAAACAATTAACTGAATTATTAAACAATAATCTTATTACCAATATATGAATAAGTAATTTTAATTAATTAGTACATATGTAATATATTTATAATTTTTGTTATGAATACAAACATAAATCAAATTATCTTTTTAATAATGTACATAATTCAAAGTTTACTCATTCCTTTATGGCCAAACGACTTGCGCATACCCAAGGTTTGCCATAACGATAAAGTGGTACCTAAAAGGTTTAGAAACAACAATAGGTACCTTCCGTCATGTGTTGTTAGTGCTTTTTGTTTGTTAATAGTGAAAATACTAAAATGCCCTTGAAAGTTTGATATTTTAGTTTTTTATAAATTTAAAAATCTCTAAAAAACCCCCTAAGTTTGCTAATTTAACTAAACACCCCTATATATTAAATGATAAAAACACCCCCACCACCTGCAGTGCCAGATTCCGGCCACCACCGTCAGAATCTGGCCGAGAAATTGTGTTACGACACAGACCCGTCGGATCTGTGTCGTAATGCATCAATCTGGCCTTTTTCGGCCAGATCCGTGGCTGATCTGGCCGGAAAAGGCCAGATCTTGTTGTCGACGCTGCAAATGGAGTTTTAAAACCGATCAACTTGGCCAATCAACGACCGACACCATGCTTGTGGTGTCACTACTGGTACGTGAAGGTTCTACAAACATTGATTTGTCGATATGGGCATCTAATTGATGCTTATATATGTTTAAACTCTATTAAAAATAATTTACATTGAGTAAGTTTTATTTTCTCATTTTTAAAATATTGTTTTCAACAAACAATCCGTTTTCATTTTCTAAATATATATAGTCACTTTTAAAATATTTTCATAAAACACAACATGAATTTAAAAAGGAAGAGACCCCAACCCCAATAGCACTCTGTTTTTTAATTCTTGAAATCTCACATGTTCCTCCTTCTTGCTAAACCGAGTAATGAAGTAGGAAGATTAATCTTCACCATTAGTGCATATGAATCAAGATTTTTGAGGGTCAAAATTTTTCTAATGTCTCCTTATAATTGCTCTTCATACCCAACAATAGTAGACGTTTATTGTTTCAAAATTCCTTAGACTATAATTAAAATATCTAAGATGCTTCAATTTATCCATTGAATTCAATAACTTAAATTGCAATATTTACAAACAATTAAATGCACATCTTAAAATATGTTCCCATTACAAAATTGTAAATAGTATTTACTTCTTCAAGCCATTAACAAATTAAATTAGGCAAAAAGGNCAAACAATTAGTTTTCATTTTCTAAGCACACATAGCATAAATTATCACTTTTAAAATATTTTCATAAAACACAACTCGACTTTAAAAACGAAGAGAACCCAACCCAACAATTCACAAACACTATGTTTTTGTTATTATTGAAATCTCACCTATTCCTCATTCCTGCTAAAACGAGTAATAAAGTAGGAAGAATCAAGAATTTTCAATAATAAATTTAAGGGTCAAAATTTTCTAATGTCTCCTAATAATTCTCTTTATGCCCAACAATAGTAGACGTTTATTGTTTCAAAACTCCTTAGACTAGAATGCTCTATGGAGAATAATAATTAAAATATGTTAGATGCTTCAATTTATCAATTGAATTCAATAACTTAAATTGCAATATTTACAAAAATTAAATGCACATCTTAAAATATGTTGATCCAATGACAAAATTGTATATATTATTTACTTCTTCAAGCCATTAACAATTTAAATTAGGCAAGAAGGTTTCATTGCTTCTATGATGCAACAAAGGAAGCCTCAAGTGGTGGAAGGTATTGAGATGATCTCAATTAAACAGTTAACGAACTACTCCTGAGTTCCCTTGGAGCTCATCCCCCGTGTACATTATGATCACCTGCATTTTTTATTCTCTATTATATCAATAACAATTAGAAATTTTATGTAGAGATATTAAAATAATTTAGCGATATGATTTGAAAGTGTTTAATCGATTATTAAACATAGCGGCATGGGTTAGAATGTGTTTTTAATGCCTTGAAATGATGATCAATCAACACCTAAGCAATATCAAGCATCTAAAAAAACATAATGTAAAGCACACCAAAGATTTTTACGTGGTTCGGCTAAAAACAATTTTAGCCTACATCCATGGGACCAAGTCCAACTCAATCAAATCCACTAGCAACAAAAGTCAATACAAAGTTGAAATCAAATACATTAAAAAGTAAACACTCCATGTTTACAAAAATTTAATTCCACATTCAGATAGAACCATTGCCCAACTACGATCTGATTTCATGCAAGCAACCACTTGGATAGCTCGAGCTCCACTCAAACTTGGAATGTCGAAAGATACCTTCAAACTCACGAGCTTGAACTTCCTTCAAGCTTTAACAAGGAACCAAATTCCTTAACACTCAATAACAAGATATTAGGTCATCTAAGAAATGGGCAATCTACATAAAGGAACCTGACAAAAAAAGCTCTGTAAAATTTCAGAGAACAAAACAGTGGAATATTCAGGTTCAAAGGAGCAAGGAAGAAGATGACAATATATATTCTTGCTCAAACAAATCTCAACAATACACGTTTCATACAGTTTTTAACAACCTTTGTTGGACCACACTTGAAAAGAATGACACCTATAAAGTAAACTTATCATGCAAGTTTCATGAAGAATATAAGATAAAATATCTTCAAATATAACAAGAGTGAGACACCTGTACTGTGAAAAACTAATGATAAAATGTTTGTACATAAGAAGAAATGTACCCCTTTTTTTTTAATACGATCCTATGAACAAGACAATGTGTACACATACAACAATATGTTATAATATGTGCAAACAATAAAACAAACACAATTGTGCTTAATCAAGCGAAGTGCATACGTCAAATATAATATGCACATATACTTCATAAGTTGACAAACAACACTTACAATATCCATATTTTATTTTATTTTTTTGAAATTCAAACAAGGGTTCTTGATGACAAGAATGCACTAGTAGACAAAATTAAAGTCAAATTTCTTGTAGCATAGATATAAAGTTTTTTGCCCTTTAGTGTATTACTAACATTGGCAATACAGATTTGGGTTCAAAGAAAATTGAAATGTTACCTCTTTTCTTGTGATCGGATGACAAACTCTTTAGCTATTGGGATTAGTTATACTCAAGAATCTTGTGTTCGAGTCTACCTAGATCCATTGGATTTGTAGAGTATTCCATGGCCTTGAAAATTAGGCGGGTTCAATTGGCAATTGTGCTCAGAAATTGAAGTGTATAGGAGAAAATGATTGTTTAATACATAAAATTTAATGCCTATGTAAAGGTGGATTCATCTTCATAAGCACTAACTACTAGAAAAAAATCCTATTAAATTGGTTATAAAAGGCTCTTAAAGGAGAGTGGTTGTCAGGAGTATCAAACCTTTTCCATGAAAACATATCAGCTTGGAGTAGATTCCAAATGTCAGGTCCAAAAGTTTGAACAAACTAAAAGAGTAATTGAATAAATTAAAGAAATGCTCATTTATGTAATTACTCCTTTGGCTAATTAAAATACCACCTTCCATTTACAGTTGTTTTTATTCTGGAAGCATTGCTTCAATGCTTTGGGCCCTGCTGCAATTCCCAATTAAGATAAGTTAAAAAAAAAAAAAAAAAAAAAACATTTTACTTTTGTTAATTTAACCATAAATATTATATTTTGTTAAAACTACACCCAAAACACACCCGATAATAAAAGCAGAAAAGTAAAGAAGACACATGATTTATCCTGATTTATTTCAATAAATGAACTATGTCCAACATTTAAATAGAGTATTTTTATTGAGTATCAAAAAACTATAGCAAATACAATGTAAATGAAGGTAGTTTACTCTTGCTCCCTATTCTTTCACTCTAGGTTTTCAACTACTACAAAATACATATAATAGAAAACCTAACTTCATATGGGTTTACCTGATCTAAGTCGACCCAGGTCCAAATATTAAGCAAATTAATTATGAACTCAATTACTAATTGGGCTTATCGTGAAGGGGGCACTGTCGAATGAGTCTGTGTAAGCCGATAATTCATCAAAGCTAAGAGAAGTATAAACCATATTTAATATTTTTATACATTTTTTTTAAATTTTTTCATCTTAGTAAACACAAGAATTACAAGACTAAAAAGGAGGGAAAAAAACAAAAGAATCCGAAATATTACCCCAATAGGTGATATTTATTTGTAATAGAGCATAAATTTATTTACTGTGGAGGAAACTGAAACTATGTTTATCAGATCAAAGTGCTTTGTTGCTGTATGACTTGAAACTTCTAAATTTCTAATATACCCAAATGAGAAGAAGGTTGATGTTGCATTGCAAACAACACAACTTAAATCAAGATTTTTTTTTTTTTTCCTCTCAAAAGTGGTATCAAAACAGATTGACGTGACATTTTATGTTAGATGACGGCAGAAGTGGAAGAATAAAAAGAAACAAATCAAAGGGGACAGATAAGTACCATCCAATTAACTACAAATTTCAAAACGTTTGCCCCCCACCATTCCGTCCATGCTCTGCATTACAAAGGTAAGAATTCCAGAACCCGTAAGAAATCAGTAACGATATAGCGAAAGACAATTATTTACTCAAGTAATTAAGAAATAAGTCATACATAATCAGAAAAGAATTTTCAATTATAAATTTAAGGGTCAAAATTTTCTAATGCCTCCTAATAATTCTCTTTATGCCCAACAATAGTAGACGTTTAACGTTTCAAAATTCCTTAGACTAGAATGCTCTATGGACTATAATAATTAAAATATGTTAGATGCTTCAATTTATCAATTGAATTCAATAACTTAAATTGCAATATTTACAAAAATTAAGTGCACATCTTAAAATATGTTCCAATGAAAGAATTGTATATAGTATTTACTTCTTCAAGCCATTAACGATTTAAATTAGGCAAGAAGGTTTCATTGCTTCTATGATGCAACAAACGAAGCCTCAAGTGGTGGAAGGTATTGAGATGATCTCAATTAAACAGTTAATGAACTATTCCTGAGTTTCCTTGGAGCTCATCCCCCGTGTACATTTTGATCACCTGCATTTTTCATTCTCTATTATATCAATAACAATTAGAAATTTTACGTACACATATGTAGAGATATCAAAATAATTTAGCGATATGAAAAATTTTAAGTGTTGATATTTGAAACTGTTCCATTTGATCAGTAAGTCTTGGACATGACAAAATTTTCAAATCCACTAAAGAAGTGAGCTTTTGCATCATTTCAATTGATAGAGATTCTATATCGGGAATTTTAAATATATGCATAGACTTTAAATTGGAGAGAGTGGCAGAAACTCTATTCATCAACATCATTGTCTGCTGCAGTGGTTTTGAACTCGTCTCACTCAACTTTAGTTCTTCTAGAGATGGATACAGCGGCATAAACGTCAAATTGGGGCAAGTTTGGATATCTAATTTGGAAAGACAAGGAAATGAAGGCAACTTTGCTCCATTATCAGCATCTCTCCTCCACCATCCATTTAATCTAGGACAATGATAGATTGCAGTTCCTTAAGTGATGGGAAGAATGTTGAATAACTAGTACTTGCTTCCTCCGAAATGTATTCCACCACATCTAGATATGCAAGAGACAAACTCCTCAAATGAGGTAATTGATCCAACGGTGGGATACATTGGCATCTCTTACATTCTTTTATGCTAATTGAAGTTAGCTTTGTGAGAGAGGATAGCCAATTACATAGCTTCACACCTGTAAATAAACTTATATTAAATTTTTTAAGATTTGGGTGTGGCTTTAGAGCTTCTAACACATTTTCATCAGTCTTTTGAACCTCTCCATTATCACTTCTCCCCCAATCCAATATTAGAGACCAAAGATATGGTTTCCTTTCCAAGTTGGCCAACTTGCCATCTTCCTCGTACTTTAAATTTTTAGTTTTCCTCTTAATTTGTTTAACCCCTTTAATTCTTCTATCCCACTATGTTTGCTATTTCTTTGACTTGCTACAAATATTTGTTATAACCACACGCACAAAAACAACCAACCACAATCAACACGATAAAGAATCACAAACCACACACACACAAGAACACCAAGAATTTACCGTGGTTCACTTGGTCAATCTGAGCAAGCTACGTCCACGTTGAGCTCGGAAAATAATCAAGTTCGCAGCACTAAACGCTGTCAAGATTACAGTTCAAATTACACACAGTGAAGAAAAACCCTTCTAATCACTTCCACAATCTGTAACTCACCCTAGAGACTCTATCCTTCGAATCCCTAATGATTGCGTAAACAAATACACCCAGAATGACCTGAACCAGTCACTCAATCACAAAGTTGCAAGATTCAACCACCAAAATTGTAAACCCTAACAAACTCGATTTTGCTCTAAAGAAGAGAGAGTTTTTCACGAAAACACTGTAAACTTAAATCTGCCCAAAAGTTCTGCTTTTATATGGTTGACTGAAGAGTTAATTTCAGCCTTCGGATCTTCTCTCCATCAACGCTCAGGATCTGTTATTTGGGTCTACTCAAAACTGCGTCGTCTCACTTAAACCATAAAACGTCAAAGTTTCAAGCCATCACCCTAACAATCTCCACCTTGATGGGTTGAAGCCTCAGTACCAGTGCAGCTTGCCTAATATGAATCCTTCCTTGCTCTTTGTTACCATTGCCTACTTAATGAATAGTAGGTCCAAGCAATGCTTGAACTTTGCAAGGGTAACAATCTTCATGCCCATGTTAGCTGGGTTATGTTCTATAGGAACCTTGTTTAAAGCTATTTCCTCTCTGGTGACCAGGTCCTTCACAAAATGGTAGCGTACATCTATGTGTTTGGTCCATTCATGATACACCGAATTTTTGCTTAGGTGGATTGTGCTTTGACTATCTGAGAATATTGTTGGATTTTGGTCTGTCAGATTAGCTTCACTTAGGATCCCTTTAAGCCAGATTGCCTCTTTAAATACATCAACTACAGCCACGTATTCAGCTTCGGTTGATGACAGTGCAACAATGGGCTGCAGCTGTGACTTCCAATTGATGCAGTTTCCACCTAGGGTGAAGTAGTATGCTGTAGTTGACTTTCTAGTATCCCTGTCACTTGCAAAGTCTAAATCTACAAAACCAGCCAACTCAAGTGAAGTAGTCCTTTTACAATACTCCAATCCAACATTCAATGAACCATTAACATATTTAAGCACTCATTTCAGGGCTGTCCAGTGTTCCATACCAGGATTGGACATGTATCTACTTAGCAAAGATATCACAAATGATAAATCTGGCCTAGTACTAATCATAGCATACATCAAGGACCCAATTACACTTGCATAGGGTATGGACTCCATTTTAATCAACTCAGCATCAGTATTAGGGCATTGGACTTTACTCAATGTGAAATGACTAGCTAAAGGCATTGAAACAGTTTTAGTCCTTGCCATTCCAAACTTTTCCACTAACTTATGCAGGTATGAACACTAATGGATTCTCAATTCACATTTGCTCATATTCCTATCAATTTGCATGCCTAAGATCTTCTTCGCATCCCTTAGGTCTTTCATTTCAAATTCAGCATTGAGTTTATTCTTTAACTCACATATTAGAGGCTTTGATTTACTTATCAGTAACATGTCATCTACATACAACAATAAGTAAATAGGCATATTATTCGTAATAGCAAAGTAGAAACAGTTGTCGTACCTACTCCTATTGAACCCTATACTTATAGTAAAGGTGTCAAACCTCTTATACCATTGCCTAGGGGATTACTTTAGGCCATATAGGGATTTAAGTAGTAAACAGACCTTGTTGGGAGCCTTTTGATCTATGAATCCTACTGGTTGGCTCATGTAGATCTCTTCCTCAAGGTCTCCATGTAAGAAAGTAGTTGTGACATCAAACTGTTCAAGCTCTAAATCTTGGTGGGCTACTATGGACAACATTAATCTTTTAGTTTTGTACTTAACTACTAGGGAAAAGACTTCATTGAAGTCTATTCCCTCCCTTTGGGTAAGGCCCTTAGCTACTAACCCAGCCTTGTACCTAGGAGGTTCCTTGGCAGTGATAACTTCCTTTAATTTGAAAAACCATTTACATTGTATTACCTTTTGATCCTTTGGCTTTGGTACAAGTTTCTAGGTTTTGTTTACCTCTAAGGATTTCATTTTTGCTTCCATGGCAGCTTTCCAATTGTTCCTTTCCCTTGAATTCATGGCTTCCTCATAGGTTTCAGGCTCTGTTCTTTGCACTTCAGTACCTGCAAGAAGAGTAGTGTAGATTAGATCAGCATATGAATACCTTGTGGGTGCCCTTACCTGTCTTCTGGTTCTATCTGTTGCAAGCTGGTAGTCTTGCAAGTTTTTAGACTGAGTTTCAATGTCTTCTACTGTTTCTGTCTCATCCTCATGTTCTAGATCAGATTGTCTAGTTTCTCCTCCAAGTTTAGTAACAGCTTCAATTTCTTAGATGGTTTCAGTTTCTTGAGGTTCTTGGGATTGAGCAGGGAGCTCCACCTCAATTGGTGTAACCCTAGGATGAGTAAAGGCCTCTTTTGGGCTTGAAGTAGAATCTACATTAGTGTTAATGTCCTTACAAGGAAAAACTCCCTCATTGCATATCACATCTCTGCTCACAATAATTCTAACTTCTGAAGGTTCCCTATCCCAAGGTCTGTAGCCCTTAGTCCCTTCTTGATACCCTAAAAAGATGCATTTGGTTTATTTGGGTTCAAGTTTTCCTCCACTGGTGTGTGCATAGGCTGCATAGCTAAAGACTCTTAGGTGGCTAAGGTCAAGTCTTCTCCCAGTCTACATTTCTTCTGGACACTTTAGGTTTATGGCTGTAGATGGGCTCCTGTTTACCAAATATGCTGCAGCGGTAAGTGTTTCTCCCCAAAAGGAGGTGGGGAGTTTGGAGGTAACTAATAGGCACCTGACCTTATCAATGAGGGTTCTATTCATCTGTTCTGCCACTCCATTCTGTTGTGGGGTGTGTTTTACTGTCCTATGTCTCAAAACCCCTTGATCACTATAGAATTTGTCAAATTCTTGGTTGCAGAATTCCAACCCATTGACGGTTCTAAGAACCTTCACCTTTTTGTTCATTTGGTTCTCTATAAGAGTTTCCAGTCTCTAAACCTAGCTAGGGCTTGATTTTTGGATTTAAATAGATACACCCACACCTTACGACTGTAATCATCCACCAGAGACATGAAATAGCTATTATTCCCATGAGATTTCACTTTCCGAGGTCCCCATAGGTTAGAGTGGATATATTCTAGTTGGCTAGTGGCTAGTGGCTAGATATGTCCCCTTAGTGAAACTGTTCCTATGTTGTTTGCCTAAGATGCAATTCTCATAGAACTCTAGTGATGAAACATTGTCCTTACCAAACTGCCCTTTATGCTTCAGGATGTCCATACCTCTTTGACTCATGTGGCCTAATCTAAGGTGTCATTTCTCTGTATTGGACAAGTTAGAAGATACAAGCACAAAATTAAAACAATTTTGGGAATGGTTCCCACTGAGTATAGAAAGACCATTTCTTTTCTCTCCTTTCAATATCAGGTTTTTATTTATGTAAATGTGCAAACATCCATTTTCTACTCTATAATAGCATCCTGATTCATCTAAGGTACCTAGAGATATCAGGTTTCTTTTAAGTTCAGGGATATACCTGACCCTAGTTAATTTTACCAATTTCCAGTGTTAACCTTTAGTGTCACTGTGCCTATCCCTCTTACCCTACATCCATAGTTATTTCCCATGTAAACAGTTTCATTATCAGTATTTTCAAACTCCTGGAACCAATCCTTATTTGGACTTATGTGAAACGAGCACCCTGAATCCAGTACCCACTCTTCCCTAGTGTCATACATTGACACAGTAAGAACTTTAGGTTCCTCTAATAGGTTTTTAGTGGTGGCTAAGTTACTCTCTGTATCCCCTGTTTTTGCTTTTAATCCACTCAAAATAGTTCTTTTTAATATGGCTAGTTTTATTGCAGAAGAAGCATTTTCTAGATTCTGTTCTGTTCTTGTTATTGCCCTTCCATTTTTTTCTTATTTCTAGTCCCTTAATTTGTCTGATTTCCCTTCCCAGTCTGACTAGACTCAACTTTTCTCTTAACAAACAGGTTTGTGCCATTCCGTTTCTAGGTTTTTAGTTCTAGTTCTCTGGCCTTAAGCCCTGCTGTTATTAGGTCACGATTTGGTACAGTACCAGAGTACTGTAGGGCATTTTTGACTACTTGGTAGTCATCAATCAGGGAGTTTAATAGAATCATGGCTAGACTAGTTTCTCCTAATGCTTAGTCTGTCCCTTTCAGGATCAAGGTCATTTTTAGAAATTCGTTTAGGTTTTCATCTATACTCGTAGAACTGTCCATTTTGTCAAAAAATAAAGCCCCCTTTAAAAAGGCTATGTTAGAGGCAGATTGCAAAGCATACAAGGAGTTGAGTTTACCCTATAATTCAATTGGTGATTCGATTCTGTCTACCTTTCGGAGGACGTTGTCGGACAGATTCATGACTATCAGGTTGTATGCCTATTCATTGATCTCCTCCTTCTTCTTCAACTTCTCCTCTAGCCACTTCTTGGAGTCTCCTTCTAGTGCAATGGCCACTTCTTGGAGTCTCCTTCCAGTGCAATGGCCACCTTGTTATGAGAAAGCAGCACTTTCATCTTTTTCTTCCAACTTCTGAAGTCAATCTTCCCATCATATTGGGAGATTTCCATTCAGGTGGTGGTATTTGACATGGTGAAGTGTTTGATTGATTTTCGAGATAGCAAGATCAAGAACTATACTCTGTTCTTGAACTTTAAGAAACGGGAATACCCTAGATTTATACTCTTAATGAGATCTATGCTAATTCGCTCAGAATAACACTCTTCTGATTCCCAATTTGATTTCTAAACCCTAAATTTGAGAAAGCCCCAATTTTAATGACTACCTGAAAGACCCTAGAAATCTCATATTGGAATTGAGACCCGATATCTTCCCTAATTTCCTATAACCTAACGCTCTGATACCACTGTTATAACCACATGCACAAAATCAACCAACCACAATCAACACGATAAAGAATCACAAACCACACACACACAAGAACACCTAGAATATACCATGGTTCACTTGCTCAATCTGAGCAAGCTACGTCCATGCTGAGCTCGGGAAACAATCAAGCTCGCTGCACTAAACATTGTCAAGATTATAGTTCAGATTACACACAGTGAAGAAAAACCCTTCTAATCCTTTCCATAATCTGTAACTCACCCTAGAGACTCTACCCTTCGAATCCCTAATGATCGCGTAAACAAATACACCCAGAATGACCTGAACCAGTCACTCAATCACAAAGTTACAAGATTCAACCACCAAAATTGTAAACCCTAACAGACTCGATTTTACTCTAAAGAAGAGAAAGTTTTTCGCGAAAACACTGTAACCCTAAATCTGCCCAAAAGTTCTGCTTTTATATGGTTGACCGAAGAGTTAATTTCAGCCTTCGGATCTTCTCTCCATCAATGCTCAGGATCTGTTCTTTGGGTCTACTCAAAACTGCGTCGTCTCACTTAAACCATAAAATGTCAATGTTTCAAGCCATCACACTAACAATATTGATAGAGTCTGAAGATTAGTCAGACATCCTATTCCACAAGGCATTCCACATAAAGAATCACATTTTTTATTTATAAGATGCCTAAGGTTCATCATTTTTCTAATATCTCTTGGTAGTTCCTTATGCTTGTCACAATGAGAGAGGTCTAATGTTTCCAAATTCCATAGTCTCAATATTGAATCAGAAAGTTTTTCAATTTGCATATAAGAAAAATTAAGATATCGTAAATGCCTAAATTCACTAAATAAACTCTTTAGCTTTCCATTTGAATGCAACAACTTCTTAAACTTTAACTGTCCAAAATCTAATGCTCGCAAGTACCTATAACTTGAAAAAATTTCATAACCACCATCCAAGTCAAATCTCCAATTTGATCGATAAAATAAAGTAAACTTCTTATATTTTTGGCACTATATAATGCAATTGGAAATTTCCATGAACTTTTTACGTCCCCACAATCAAGTGACACATGACGACATTTATCATCCACACTTTGAACCGTGCCTATAGTTGTGAAGGTGCATTCAGTTCTTGCAACTAATTTTGCAAGTTCATGCAAAAGATCATGCATCTTACATGCAACTACATTGTCCCATTCATCATATTTTGGGTCTTGGAAAAATGACATCAAAAGTAAAGTCGTAAAATACTTATTACCAACTTCTTCAAGACATTCATTCTTATCTAATGCTTGAAGAAACCCTTGTGCCATCCAAAGATAAATCAACTTTTGCTTCTTAATCTTATAATCTTTGGGAAACAATGCACAAGAAGCGAGACACTGTTTCAAATGCGAGGGGAGATAATCATAACTAAGCTTGAGTATTGGTAAAATATCACTTTCTTTTTCAATCACCTTTGACATTTCATTGTCCTTGAAATGCAACCAATCATCTTCCTCATTAATGCCATGAAGTAAGTGTCCTACTATCATTATAACAAGTGGAACTCCTCCACACTTTGCCACAATCTCTTTTCCAAACTCTACTAGTTTTGAATCTTTTGGCTTTATCCCATCTACAAAGGCTATCTGCGTAAACAAAGACCAAGACTTGTTTTCATCTAGCACTTTCAAGGGATAGACATAAGAGTTAAGTGTGCTAGTAATCCTAGCAACCTGCTCACTACGTGTAGTTACCAATATCTTACTTCCTCTTTCACCATCCATTAATAAAGTTTTTAATTTGTCCCACATAATGGAATTTTCATTCCATATATCATCCAAAACTAGGAAATATTTTTTCCCATTAATTATTTCTTTGCGTAGGCATTCTTTCAATTGATCTATATCAAGTCCTTCAGTTTTCTTACCAATTGCAGATTTGATGATATTTTCCATAGTTATTTTCTCATTAAAGTTATTAGATACACACACCCACATCCTTAATTGAAAATAGTTTATAACATGCTCATCATTGTATACAAGTTGAGCAAGTGCAGTCTTTCCTAATCCTCCAAATCCAAATATGGAGATGACTAAAACCTTCTCATTAACGTCTGAGTCCAATAGAAGTTGTATAACTTTTTTTTATCATCATCTCTCCTTACAACCTTTTCAGCACGTACAAAAGAGTGTGTTTCCCTTTCTATATCCATGACTCTTTTTTCATCAAGACTCTTAATAAGTTGGAACTTCTGATCTTTTTCAATCACATCTAGTTTCTCCCTAATAGTCTTAATCTTATGAGCTATATTAAGACTATATATAATCTGATTAGATTTGGAGAAAAAGATGCATACCTCCATTGCCAATTTATTTCTAGTCATTACCTCTCACCTTTGAAGGTAAGTAGAGAAATCGTCCAGCAAGTCATCAGCTTCATAAAATGCATCTTTGAGCCTTTGAGCCTTTGAATCCAATATGTCACCGTATAGTTCTTTCTGCTGTGTTGCTCCTTAGCATCAAGAAGCACAAGTCTAATAGTGTGGACAGTGGTACTAAGTTTTTGAATCTCATCTTTAACACCCTATGCCAATTTGCCTTCTCGGACAACCAAGGACCCCAACATTTTGAAGATTTTCCCTGCAATGCCAAATATAATTCCTTTTGCCATTTGTTCTTGGTTTCAGTAATAAAAATTGATTTTAAGAGGGTGAAGTTAGAAGGGTAGCTGTAAAATTGATTGTAAGATCATGTTACTCATATTTATAGACAAAAGTAATTCCATTCTTGATCAACACAAAAATTTAAAATATGAAAAATGATACTTGACTTAATGATGGAAATTAATCCCAATTAAGCTAGAGGAAAGGTAATATATACTTGGCGTAATGATATGAAAAGTAAAGCAACTATCAGCACAAGATCTTGCTTTGCTTTGGTACTAATCAAACATTAATACATTTTTAAGTTTTAACATATTAGCACCCATTTATCTTATATAATTATTTACTCAAAAGCCAAGAAAACAATTTTCACTATAATTTTGAGATTGCCTTCCAAATACCTAAAATTTTACTATTTTAGTCCCTTTGATGGTTAAATTTTGAGTAGTTTATGACTTTTTATAAGTGACTTTAAGGATTACGTTATTACAAAAATAAGATTAAAACTTACTGTTTATTGTTTTTCAAAAAACTTTGTAGAAAATGCGTTTTCTGTAATTTTAATTCAGGCTTCCTATTTTTAGAAATTAATGACATCAAATCTGTTCCTAAATTTTGAAATTACAAAATTCAATTTTTTTAATTTTTTTTTTTCCTCTAAACAATTTTGAAAATTAACATCAACATATATAATTTAACTTTTCTGATTAGATATTTTAGAGAGGTTGATGGGAAGGAACAAAATAGTTTCTTGAAAAATGTAAATCATAAAATTTCATTCTTGATATTTACATATCTTTATGATTTACATTTTTATAAGATCAAATTTCATTTAATTTCATTAAAATTCCTTCTTCTTTTTCTAATTTTAAAAATACACATATGATTTTTGAAAGTTTTCACTTGATTTTCATAGATGTTAAAACACCCCCTTAAAAAATTTAAAGTATCAAAGACTAAAGAGACTATTTAATTCATGGAAAAACACGCATTTCAAGTTTATATTTCACTTTTTACATCTCAAACGATGTTGCAGTAACCAACTATTCCAAAATGGTGGAATGCTATTTCTCTAAGGCCAAGAGTAGAAATACTATTGAAATTCTTTTTTGCCCCTCTTTTAATTTTTTTTCCCAATTTTTCTTTGAAACAGTTGATTTAGAATTTAATTATTTTATAATATAATAATTATTATATTATTATATTAATAATTAAAATATTATGGAACTTAAATTATTGTTTAAACCTTATCACCATAACCTCTACCACTGCCAACAACACTACCATGTCATTGTCACTGGTTGTTGATTGTCATTGGAAACACCCTATCAGCATCATCACCGGCAAGTGCAGAACCTACTAGGCATGGTAATGTTCCTTAGGATTTTAGGGACCCGTCCCACCTCGCCCTAGCCATGGTTTTTTTGGGGATAGGGGCGGGGGTGGGAGGTGTTTTAATCCCTGTCCTTGGGGATGGGGCAAGGGTGGGTGATGCCTTTCCCCCGCCCCGCCCCGCCTTGTATATAATATATAAAATTAAAAATTATATATATATATATATATATTTACTTTTCACTAATACTCTTATATTTTACCTAATTACATAACTATCCTACCTATATAAACTCATATTTTCCTAATTTCCCTCACCCTAAACAATTGAACAAGAACAAACCTTGACCCATATTTATGTATAATTAATTATGTTTAAATGATTAATTTAAGTGTTTTTCATGTAGACAAGAATTAACTATTGTGTTTGGTAGTGCTCAAATTAATTTATGTTTATATAAAATTAACGGGGTGGGGACGGGCCTCCAACATTCCCCTTTGGGGTAGGGAAGGGGAATTCTTGTTATCCCCATAACGGGGATGGGGTGGGGGTGGGGGTGGGGAGTGATTTTGAGGGTGGGGATAGGTATGGTGAATGAGATCCCCGCCCCATTGCCATGCCTAGAACCTACATTTGATAGTCTGGGTAGGTTCCAATAGCCATAGACACCATAGGTGACATCATGTGTGGCAACATGAATAATATGTCATTGCATGTGATGTCACTTCGTTGATCTTCAACGGCCTAAATTTTCGTAGATTGATAGATTATCAGACACCAATTCTGCACGTGTTAGCAGTGATGTCAAAATGTGAAGAAATGTTGTTGGGCTAGCACTATTGACCGATGATTGACCGTTGTCAAAATTTAATTTTTTAGAGTTTTTATTTAAATAAAAAATAATATTTTCAGTTTATTAAATAAAATAAACAACAATACTACCCTGTCCAAACTAGACCTGGCAAGCGGGCAGGCCAGGCGAGTATGGGTTGGGTAACTACAGGTAACAAGTAAAACGGGCTCGGGTGAACGGGTATATTTTTGGAACGGATAAAAATATGCATCACGTGTACCAGCCCGTACGGGTATGGATGGACCCGCAGGTCACTTGCAAAAAGAACCCAAACAAAGTTACAAAACCCCAAAAGATCAAAGATAGAACTCTCTTGGTAACTGCGCATATTTGTATTTTTACTTGGGCTCTCATTTCTAATCTTGTCTTCCTCCTCTTATTTCTTCTTACAATAAGATTTTGAATCAAACAAAGCTCACCACCACACTCATGCTTACCCATTCTTAGTACAATAATACTAGGTTTACACCACCTTCTCACATCACTCTCTCACATCATGATGTGGCAAATGACGTGGCAATGCCACATCGTCTGCCACATCAACAAAGTGCCATGTAATTTCCCCCCAAATTCACCCTAAACCCAAAATTTCAATTCTCAATTTACCTAAAACAAACCCCAAATCGATTTCAGTTTCTCCAAAATACAAACACTAAAATCTCATCCAAAATTTCAGCTCGCAATGTACCTAAAACAAACCCCAAATCGAATCTCAGTTTCTCCAAAATGCAAACACTAAAATCTCTCTCCAATTTTCCTTTAAAGATAAGTGAACTTGATTCTTTTTTAAGCCCACCACCGTTTCCGTCTCTTCATTTCCTCCAATTGCGTCCCCAATGAGCGCTGCACCTGTAAAGTGATTATTTCCCACTTGCTAGGTTCCAAAATGTCGCACCTGTAAGGTTAGGCGTTGTTTATATGATTTTAAGCCTAAGTTTGTGCCTTCTTAGGGGAATTAGAACTGTAAGTCTGGAACGAATTAGGATACTTAGTAATACATATTTACATATATTTTTTTCTCTTTTGTTAGTAAAAGGAAGATTATGATGCAATCTTTCATGGGTTTATTTTCTGGTCCATAGTGTATATATTCTGTTGCAAGAAGATTGATTGCTTGTTCCAAGAGAACTAAAGGAGCATATTGTTGTTTCTTACTACAACATTCAACAAGAAGTAGCTAAATCAAATACCTTTCATTCATATACAACTTTGAGTACTCTACTGAGCATTCTCTCTAAGTCCCAATATAATTTGTTATAGTTGTTGTTTGTAGACTATATTTTTCTGGTTTTTATTTTTATATTGTCTAAATGTTGGGGTCTAGGATCATTAATGTTTGCTAGGAAGCGACATCGTTTGGTGGTGATGTCTAGATGTACTTAATGTGATGAGCACATTAGGCCTGAAGTCCTTTTTCTTGTTTGGGACTGGATTTGCATTCATAAGTGGAGAAGTTGATATTTATCATATGGCAAGTTTAACTTTTGACTTACATTTTAGCCCTTGAAATTGTTTGTTTTTATTGCAGGCAGTAGCAAGACTTCAAATCTTAGAAACTATTACTCGAAGTGATGTGGATGAGGCACTTAGGTTAAAGCAGATTTGAAGTTCTCTTTGTATTGTAATTATTGTCAGAGATCTGGTCTAGATGCTATCTCTGATATCTATTCAATTTTGCAAGATGAGGCTGCAACGATAAACAAGTTAGATGTGAGCAATCCCCAGGCATTCAACTGGATTTTGAGAAAGGTCTTGACTCAATTTGAGAATGGATTATTTTATTTTTTATCTCATGGAATTGACTTATTGTTTATGTCATGTTTGATTCCCCTTTGTACATGCCTGCCTAAAGTTTGAAGATCAATGCAATATATGAAGTCTCTTTTGTTTAGATTGGTGTCTCAATTTGGCCTTGCATTTAATAGAAGTAGTTGATTATCTTTGCCTAGCACATCACTAACTTTAGTGGGAATCAACCATTAACCATTAAAAGGGAATTCCAATACCTTGAGATAATGACTTTAATTTTATTAAAGTTTTTCCCTTTTCCTTGCGTAAATTTGGTCAAAGTTTTTTGTTTTTTTAGTTAAAATAGTTGATTTTTGAT